TGTCGTAGTTAAGACTTCTGGAAAAGTTATACAATATGTGGGTGCTCTTCCTTCCTTTCTCTGCAATTGTTTTGTACGAGGAACAGGATGTGAACTGGCGTCGGTCACCTGGAGAATATTGGCACTAAGAAAACAAGTTCTTGTATATGAAGATCTTGCCGCTGGCGCGTTACATTCTACAGAACCGAAGGGCTGGTCACACTCGTACTACATATGCATGTACATACATGTGTCTGTGTATATTTATGTACAATATGTCTATCACATGCTGCAACATAAACTCCAAATTGCCAGTTACACTGACTTATCAGTTATCACCACACCACAATATTTTGCGTTATCACCGTGTTATCACTGTATTTTTAAAAACGAATAACAGAGAAAATGCTCCATAAAAATCTTTAAATTGTGTAATACTTAAGAACGGAAATAATTAAAGATTACTATTATATAATTGTTTTCAGAAATTTATTGTGATAAGGATAACAAATAGAAGGCCCATAACGAAAAGCGAGTTATATATCGAAAAACAAAATTAAAGATTTGGGGCTTTCACGGCGGTGACTAAGAAGAAAGCAGTCTTTTGGGATTTGGCACCGTGTATATGTGGTGTTAACCGATGTTTCGCTTGTGGATTTCTTATATTTTTCCTTCTACCCTGAAGATGGAGGTGGTACGTTCCTTCGAAACTTCGGTTAACACCACATATACACGGTGCCAAATCCCAGAAGACTGCTTTCTTCAACAAAATTAAAGGTTGTCGAATTTCACGCAGATAGTTAGGTGTTTTTTTTTAACCTAAAGCGCTTGAAACTCTGTTTCGAAAATCATTTCAACTTGAAAAATCCTGTCACTCAGTTATATCTGTGACAACAAACAAAAACAGTTTAGTAAGAACATGAATTATAATCTGTGATATGTTAATGTAGAAGTGCATGGAAATCGGATAAGATGAAGCTCACAACAATGGCTAATGCTCTGTGTTTCGCAAACCACTAGCAGCGCTGGAGAAATATTTCCATGTTTTCTTTCCCATTTTTAAAGGTGCCGGAAAATGGTTAACATGAACAACCGTAAGGCCTAACTAAAAGTTTTAAGGAGAGGAGTTCGTAAAGATAACATTTTAAAACCATAATTAAAACATTTATAATGGAAGCTCAGACAAGTGGAAAACACATGCAACTTGTAGTTTTCAAGAAGTCAACATACAGGTATAGCAAAAAGTTTTCTGAGTATTTCTCAGTGTCAAAGAGATAAAACGTGCGGACGCATAGCATGAACTTGCCGTTACCTTCTTCAGGGACGCAGTAACCACCTGAGAACACCACCGGCAGCATCATTACTTAAGTTCTTGCTTGGATACGTGGTCACCATGCAGTCGTAACAATTATATTGACACCCTTCGTTCGCCCGTGCCATAGGCCAAGCGGTTAGTCGCTGGTTTTCCACCGCGGTGGCCCGGGTCTGGTCATTTGGGATTTGTGGTGGACAAAGTGACACTGGAGCAGGTTTTCTCCGAGTAATTCGGTTTCCCTTACCAATCTTTATTCCATCAATTGCTCCACAATCACCTAAGATCTGGGGCTGATACAACAGACCAGAAGTGGCCGCAGTACCAAGTGGACTCAGTCTCACAGCACAAAACGAGAAACAAACTCGGCGGTTTTAGTCCGCAAGCGGGCTATACCGACCGAGCGACCGCCGCTTTTCGGCGAAGTTAGTGCCAACTTTAGCAGATAAGAGGGTGTCGCGTGGTCAGCACAACGAATCCCCACGGCCGTTAATTTCGGTTTTATAGACCGAACTATTTCCCTGAAATAGCTACTCAATTATCCTCACGAGGCTTAGCGGATCCCGTTCCAGACCCACTACTTCTCAGAAAATCTGGTAGCACAGGGAATCGAACCCGGACCTCTGGATCTGTAGCCAAGAACTGTGACCACTAGACCACAGAGGCGGCCAGTCTCATCCCAATAATAATAATAATAACAACAACAACAACAACATTTACACCCTTCGTTCGACCATCGGCTGTTACTATGCCATCACTTTCAGCCTGCGGAAGCGACAACCTCCTCCTCCGAAGAGTCGCTCCTGCAGGACTGCAGTACAGTGAAGTGCGCTGCAGAGGAGATAGTTCTGCAGCAATTAAACGTTGCGTCAGCACTATAGCCGGTCGACATGTCACATTCCAGTCAATGAATATTATCTTGTGGGGGAAAGCTTCCGGTACACAGGCCTATTACTTGCACTTGTTTCGTCATTCGAGTTCCCGGTACAAGGTAACAAGTCTCAGTTCCGCGATGCGATGGCTTAGTTCTCCCTGTATGAATGCTTGATCAAGAAATGCCATGTTCTAATCCCTTCCTTGCTATGCATGCAGTACCATGTGTAAAAGCACTCCCCTTATAGTATAAGGGTTTGTGTGTTTTTTAAGTAGTCTATATAGCGACAGGCTACGGGCTGGACGGCGGAGGTTCGATTTCCAGCAGAGGCAAGTGATTTTTTCCTTTCTACAATATCCATAACAGCTCCTTATTAAGTGGTGCTCAATAAATTAGGCATAGGGACAACGTCACATCATCTTTATCAGTGATGGTTACTAATTGTATCTCTTCGACAACGGGAATTATACGTTTCCATTGAAATAGTATAACATAGATTTGCAGAGCCTTCGGACGTAAGATGATGATGATGATCATAANAAAACAAAGAAACAAACAAACTCCGTGGTTTTGGTCCGCAAGCGAACTATACCGACCGAGCGACCGCTCCTAGTCGACTAAGTTAGTGCCAACTTTAGCAGATAGAGGGTGTCTCACGGTCAGAGCAACAATCCCCGAGACTGTTAATTTCGGTTTTCTAGACCGGAGCCGCTATAAATAAACAAATTCGCATTAAATACTTGTATTTGTCCCGAACTGGCATTAGGATTTTTGAAACAAATATCACTGAAGTTTACAATAGCAATACATTGGACATCAGACACCCACGTCGTGTTATATGCCGGTTCGGTTATGTCCGCAGCAGAGAATTTCGTTTTCAACAGTTCGGACCTTATAAACACTATAAGCTAGAAGAGTATTTTCTTAACCGCCGGGTCGCGGCCCGGTACCGGGCTGCGGTCTGACAAAGGTTGAGAACGACTGAGCTAGATTGTTTCAGGGTCAAGTGTCCTTTATACTGGAAAATCACAGGCGCAAAGCGCACTCACCACCCCAAAATTCTGTAGGAGCAGGAAATGACGGTAATTTCGATGGGATTAACTCAGTGAAGCTCAGTCATTATATTGTGGCATGATACCCGTTGCTAGGCAACGAACGCGAAAGAAGCAGCCATACACAACAGCTGCTAAGTAACGGCTATGAAAACAAGCATGTTTCCACAGTAAAAATTGCACAGCAACAATGGAATTGTGTTCTCTGTGCGATCCGTGCCGAGATGTCATAAGCAGGACAGTCACTGAAAGCCAGTTGAGTTGAGCTGGTTGGTTGGTGAGTTAAGAGGACTGCTGCAGTTTAGTCGATGTGAGAAACTGGTAGCTGAGGACGGGGATGGTTCGGGAGTCCAGAGGAAGTGGAACGTCCGTCGTTGGAAGCCGCTACCGATCAACGGCTAAGGAAGACGTAATTATGGACACTAGTGTGTGTGTGTGTGTAATAGTGAATTATAAAGTGTAGTCACGTGCTGTATCAAAGAGTCCAATAAATCCGATTACCAATCCAAAACAGTGCTTCAGTCACTCATACATGTAACAACTGTTGTCAGAATTGGGAGTGGATTGACTAGATTAATTGGATTGGATAGAACTGATTCCGTCAAACTGAGGCAAGATGGATGACACACTAGAAGAAATGGAGGTCACGTAAGTACGGATCCCAATCTAACGGATACAAAGGCTGAATTAAGAGCCAATAACAAGATGTTTGAGGTCCTTCAAGGTACTCTAGTCTTCCGGATGGACATCCACCAAGTCAGGACGCGAGTTTCTGTAGCTGAGGCTGGGAACAGTTCGGGAACCCAGAGGAAGGGCAATGTACGCCGGTGGAAAGCGTTACAAGAAAACTGGTGAAGACACAGCGGGCTGGGAAAATTGAAGTGTAAATTGTGTGAATTAGTGAAACGGTTATAATTACTTGTCGTCACGGCTCTGTAGGAGTTCAATCAATCCGAATACCAATCCAAACCCGTCTATACACTTGGTCATAGACTTACGACCGACTTCCGTTCTGACTGACAGGTCGTAAGTCGATCTGGTCGTATGTCGGCCATATATTTATTAACAGTATTTTTTAACCTTTCTAATCTTTTTATCATCTTCATAATTTATTTTTAAAAACTTTTATATTTTAATCATCTTTTTTTTGTGGTTGTAAGTGCGGCCGGTCGTAAGTCGACGACCAAGTGTAGTTAACTCCATCACGTGACAATATGTACCACCTGCTTTAGTAACAAGTTCTGCATGTTGCCAACACAGCGTATTTATGATTTGCGTAGTCTGTGATTCCTAGAACAAAAAGCGACTATTTCTATAAACATCATTACCCGGTTAGTCTTCGTAATGCACACGTATACGTGTTCTCTGTGGTGTAGTAGGAACTAAATTTTGAACTGTTATTTCAGTTTCAGGCTTCAAAGAATCGGTAGCACACTCCCATGACATTAAGTGACTTATTTCTTGGGCTGGGTTGTGACTGAGTCCACTTTGTACGTCGGCCACTAATTGGCCTATTGTGCCCGCCTTGGATGACAGAGGATGAGTGTGGAGCAGTCGGTGGAACGAGAATTGGCAGGAGAAACCGAAGTACTCGGAGAAAACCTGCCCCAGTGCCACTCTGTCCACCATAAATCCCATATGACCTGACCTGGGCTCCAACTCGGGCCGCCACTGACTAACCGCCTGAGCTATGGCACGGTCGGTTATAAAGTGACATGATCAGCCACGATGCAAATACCGTGCCCCACACAAAAAGCAAAGATCCTCGAACTGCTCAACTCACCTCAGAGCTAGTGGATCCTGTAACATGGTTATGGCAGCTTCCGGTTCTGTTTCGTGTTCGTCGACAACCATTGGTGAAGGAGTGGCTGGAGACGCCGGAGCAGTCGCTACTGGAGTCACGGATCCTGCTACATCGACGTCTTCCTGGAGTCCGCCTGGCGAATCTGCTGCTGCCGCTGAAGTGGGGGACACTGGTTCGGACGAAGCGTCATCCCCTGCCAGCTTGCTGCCAGGGCTGTCTGGTGGCCCACCCTCTTCACCGCCTTCCCCTCCTTCCCCTGGGAATACAAGCACACACGCGGCACGTCAGCACTCACGGACCGTCTGCATACCAACATAGGCTATGGCACTTTCTTCTAATGCGGGAATGGGTGGAGCTGAGTGCACGAGATCATTGGCCGCCGTGCGACAAAAGCGATCAGTTCCGCATTAGAAAGATGTGATTGGACTGAACTGGCTGGGGCAAGTTGTCATGCCAGATTCAAACATTTTTTTTATCTAATGAAGCCAACAATGATTGGACAGTAAAGGTAAAGCTATCCCTGTAACAGGCCGTGGAGTCCCATAGGATTGTGAGACGTCGAGGCTCCCAAAATTTCTAGACAACTGGGTCTCAGATGGCGGTGAGGTTCTCAGCCTTACGCGCCGGCCGCCCTTTAACCCCAGGAATATTTCTGGTACTCATTTCTTTTAAAGGCTCAGTCGATCCCAGAGCCATAATGTGGCTCGAAGGATTAGGTCAACTGAAAAAATCCACCTCATCGGGATTCGATCTTGTAAAGTTTGGAAAAGAATGAAAATTATAAACATTCTTTTCATACAGAAATAATTTTCTCGAATTCCCTCTTAATCATCTTATGTCCGAATATTACCCTATACACCCTGCATTTTACACTCTGAAACATCCATTCTACCGTCAGAATAGGAGACTAAGCTACAGAGCTGCATGAGAAGGACGCACAATAAGTTACACTTCTTGTGCACTCTTTCACCTTTGGATTTCTGTGGATGAGAAGGTAAGACGACGTTTTCCGAGCCGAATGACAGCATATCTATATGTAGAAAACAATCACTATTCAAGAAAATAGCTTAGTGATGGACGTCATGTGTTGCTGTCATGCATGTCTCTCTCGTCCAAGGAAAACAAGTGTGAGTGAGTCACGGCGTGTCAGGCGTGCAATGTCGCGACGGGCTCACAATTATAACGTTGCCACCTAACTGTTATACGCAGCAGAATCCTAGACGCTGTCTGTCGGCCCGATCACCACTCCACGAAGATACATAAAGGGCGTGGAGGAAACAAATCTGAAACGACAGAGAGAAAGCTCCTTGCTGCTACAGTGCAAACGCGATTTAATGATCCCTCATATCAACGCTCAGCCCTATCTGCCTCAAAACAGCACTGGCCGACAGACAAGTGTCTTCTCTGCGAGCACTGTTTCACTATCACCCTTCCCATCTCATCCTCCTTGACGTCGTCATTCTAATTATATTTGGCGAGGAGTGCAAGGTATGAAGCTCCCTGCCATGCAGTTTTCTCCAGCCTCCTACTATTTCATCCAAATATTATCCTCAGTGCCCTACTTAAACCCGAGATCCTATATCGGAAAATAACGTAGTCGAAATATCTAGGGCCTGCTACTGCAAATTAAGCGCAGCTATGAGTCACGAAACTATAATTATTAACATAAATTCCTACTAGCCTCAGCATATAAAATCGAGTATCTCAAGGAGATCTCACTGCCTCTGTGGTCTAGTGGTCGGAATTCTTGGCTACAAATCCAGAGGTACTGGGTTCGATTCCAGGCGCCACCAGATTTTCTGAGAAGCAGTGGGTCTCGAACGGAGTCCACTTAGCCTCGTGAGGATAACTGAGGAGCTATTTCAAGGAAATGGCGGCTCCGGTTTAGAAAACCGAGATTAACGGCTGTTGGGATCCGTTGCGCTGACCACGTGACATCCTCTATCCTCAAAATTTGACACTAACTTCGCCGACAAGCGGCGGTCGCTCGGTCGGTATAGTTCGCCTGCAGACTACAGGCCACGGAGTTCTTATTTTTTGTTTTTGAAGGAGACTTGGTTCTTCGGAGACCTTGTTCTTTTAATGTAGACGGTGTTTCGTAAGTAGTTATGATGCAAGCAAGAGTCACAGTTTCTTAGACTAAAGACCCAAGTCTCATGGTTAAATTCAACACATGCCTTCCATCGCCACGTCTCCTGGGGACAGTGCCTCTCCTCTCCCCTCGAAGGAGATGACACCCCTTCCCTTTCATTTCCTCCGCTTTCACACAATAACATCAGTAGCGTGTGCAAAACGCAGCAAACCTTGTAATTAGTAGAGCTTGCGGGGGTTAATTTTAATTAGAAGGTCTATCGGGTCTGTTCCTTCCCAACCTCGCTCTCCTTCGCTTCTTCTTCTTCTTCTCCTCCTCCTCCTTCTCTTGCAAAACTATCTTCTCGCATCTCTTTACTGGGCACGGAGAGACAGATCGGCTGCTCCAGACGATAACGCAATGAAACATAACGTTAAGTTCGCAGCAGATCTGTGCACTTGCAAGCCATAATTTTCTCGACATGAGAAATGCATTTGCAACATTCAGAAATCGGGCTAGAAGAAACACGCCTACTAGCAAACTGCTCTGCTGGACACGACACTGAGACAGTTTGGTTTCCCAGTGTAACAACTCAGGCACTGACTACACAAAATAAGCACAACACGACACGATATACGGCGCGACATGAAACATGACAAGACTCATCTGAAAACTGTATTTATTTTGTCAGTCTAGGCGGATGAGTCACCGTATCCGCGCGGGCTAAGGCATCAAACGCCTTAGTCCGTTGAGTTGGAATCCCACTCGAGGCATGGATGTCCGTGTTCATTTTGTTTGCGTTAGGTAGCGGCCTTCCGACAGGCTGATCCACTGTCAAAGGAAGCTCCCCCAAAAGTGTCTCCACCTTGTCGTGGTGGTGGGACTTGCGTGGCTCTGTGACCTGGATAGCCACGGCAGCGGTAATTTAACTACCGGTAGGGTCACCCATGCCGGAAAGGTCAAAGGGTAGAGTCCAGGCTAAGTGAGACAACCTGGTCCTCAAGGTTGGGGGTTGGGCATGAAGCTAACAACCTCATCCTCTTAAAAGAATTTAGTTCAGAAACCTAACAACCAGCCTCGGATAAGTGGAACATATGGGAAACGGACTAAGCAAAGGACAAGGAACAATGATATTGCGATAACTTGGAATGTACGCACAATGCTGCAACCCGAAAAGATGCACGAACTAGCCCAAGACATATTCCAAAAGAAGAAAAGAAAACCCAGGATGAGATGGCTAGACGATGTCGAGAAGGGCCTGAAGAAAATGAAGGTGAAATGATGGATAGAGAAGATGATGAATAGAGAGCAGTGGAGACTGTTTGTAGAGGAGGCCAAGGCTCATCCAGGGCTGTAGCGCCGAGTGGTAGGTAGGTATGCTCCTAGTGGCCGCAACAGGAATAGGAGGAGGAGGAGGAGGAGAAGAAGAAGACGGAGGAGACGCAGCAGCAACAAGACAGACATTTCAGTGTCAAATGACTGTAACATTTGCTCTGCTGCATGTTGTGCCGTATGTCACCATGCTGCATGTTGCACCTCTTTGACGTAGACCATGAGTAAGATCGATCTTCGTTCGAGTCCTGAATCTCATAGGCGTTTCGAGTGTTCGCTATTCAGAAACTCTTACGTATCCCTTGTCCTTAACCCTAATCATGTGCTCAGCCCTTAGTCGCCTGCATTTTACTGGCCCAAATAATCCTATTCTAACTTGCCATCTACTCACTTCTTCGCTTCCCCTTGTCCCCTTTAGCGTCAACATTAGCAACAGTAACTAGCAGTAAATGAATCTGGAAAGTTCAAGGCTGGCTCTTAGATCCAAACAGCCTCCTATCCAACTAGTCAACGTGGGAATCATGCAACAGGAGTCATTTCCTCCTACAGTCGAGCTCTAGAACACGTAGAGCCGCTCCCTCCTTAAGGGCGCTCGTTCCTAGCGGCTTCGTACTATCGTGCCAGTAGATCCAGATGTATCATCATCATTCAGAGATTCTGGTATCAGAAGTGTCATGTGTCACCATATGCTGACATGTTTTATGACACTTCTCTTCGTGTCTTTATTTATATAAGTTTTGACAACTCGGTAAGGTAAAGATATCCCTGTAACAGGGCGTCGAGGCCCATAGAGGTGCGGGACGTCGAGGCTCCTAAATCATCTAGACAATCGGCTAACAGATGGCGGTAAGGTTGTCAGCCTTACGCGCCCGTCGCCCTTTACCCCCCAAGAATATTCCAAGAAATATTCATTTCTGTCAGAGGCCGAGTCGACCTGGAAGGATTAGATCAATTGAAAGAATCCAGTGACCTCATCGAGACTCAAACCCGCGATTTTGAAGCTTGTAGTACAGTGCCTCAACAACTACGCTGGGGGGAAAGGCGGCTGGCGCGTCAGGCTGACAATCTTACCGCCATCTGTGAGCCGATTGCCTAGAGCAAATGTGGGAGCCTGACTTCTCACAACCTATGGGCCGTCACGGCCTGTTACAGGAATAGCTTTACCTTGTTGTCAGGAAAACTTCACAGTACCATTTAACCATTTCCGCGGGACAAAATGTTCTATGTCTGGGTGGTCGGTTCTTACTCGGCCAATCAAAAAGTTTCCTCATTGGTTGAGGCACTAGGCTACAAGCCGGAAGGTGGCGGGTTCGATTTCCGATGAGGCGGATTTTTTCAATTGACTTAATCCTTTCAGCTTCACTATGGCACTGGGGTCGACTCAGACTCTAATAGAAATGATTACCAGGAATCTTCCTGGGGGGTAAAGGGCGGCCGGCGCCTAAGGCTGACATTCTCACCGCCATCCGTGATACGATATCTAGAGAAAATGTGGGAAACCTCGGCAGCTCACAACCCTATGGGCCTCCACGGCCTGTCACAGGGACAGTTTTACTTTTCCGTTTACCATTTTACCCTAATATCAGACATTCTATCTGAAGGGTAAACTACACTTCTACCTTGAAGATGGAGGCAGCCCATTCCTCCAAGACGTCGGTGAACTCGTCACAATATAGGGCGTAAATATGACGACGGTCTTCCTCAGTTCGTCCAAGTGTTTCATCTCCATTTACCGAAGATAAATACAACAAACTCCACATGAAGAATTTCATTACTTTAAAACTCGGTTTCAATTCTACCGCCACCTGTAATTAACCTAAGCAAAGATGGCGCAACTGCACTCAAGTCCCGGA